AGTGACTAAAATCCAGGTCTGTGCTTTTTCTTTCCTTTGCCAGCTTTCTTTGCCTTTTTTGCTTCAATCCTTTCCTGGATGTGTTTCTTTCTTAGTTTCTGCTTTTCTTCAGTCTGTTTCTTTTGATAGTCTGTCCTATCTTTCCACTGCTTTTTACTCTTTGCTTTTTCCTTCTCTCTCTTTTTCATAGCTTTCTTCAACAATTTAGGATCATCAAATTGTTTCACCCCTTCTGCTTTTTCCATTGCATGTTTCCATGAATGCTCCTCCTTCATTTTCATAGCTTTTTCTGCATCTTCTGTCTTAAGCGTTTCCAGCTTTTTCTTGTGTGCTTCAGCTTTTGCGAGAAGTTTCGAGTAGTTTTTCGCTTTAGTCCCATGTCTCGGTTCTTTCTTTACTTCCATGAAATCAAACTTGCTAAAAACAACTTCACCGCTGTCGTTCAATATAGTCTTAGCAGGCGATGAGTCCTGTTTCTTGGGGGGTTTTACGTTCTTTTGCGCAGAAGCAATTTTCTGTTTATTTTTCGCTTTGACTTCGCTTTTAGATTTCTTCGTCCCTGCATTCTTATGCTCTTCTTTTCCGTCGAATGCTTTTCGTTTTCTTTGAAAGTCTTTAATCCTGGCATGAAGACGAGACCTTAACTCATCCAGATTGCCACTTTCGACTTTTTCAACACTAAAACCAGTCCTCTCGATACCACTGCCTTCCTCTTCATCACCAAAGTTTTTCGATTTTTCTTTTTCCTCAGTCTCCTTTTGAATTTCATGAACTGTTTTGTGCTGATTTGGGTCGAGCCTCAATCGTTTTGCCTTCCTAGAAGCTTCTTTGATGACCTGTTTCGGAGCTTTCTGTTGGCGATTCTTAAAAAATTTACTTGCTAATTCTTCTTCGTCAACAGGCAAGTAATGTTTCACCGGTATCAATTCGATCAAAGTGTTGAAATAAGCTGAATGACCCGCAAGACGCTCCTCAAGGCCTTCTCTCAATTCGTCCGCCATCTTGCCTTCCACATGTTAGAAAGCCTCACACTGATGATGCTTTCTGATTGGTTGTCAATTTAGAGAACGGCAGAACCATGTGACCAGACCAAGCGGCTTTCAAGATGGCGGACGCTGGGTTTTTTAGGGTAAGAAAATTTTGCTGCGCGTTTTAGATTTATCTTCTCTTTTCCTAAAGTCAGGTTTCTTCTTCTGACAACTTAAAAACTTTCTCCACAGGGCACAAGTGCGGAACAAGACAACCGGTTCCTTGATAAGCAAAAGAAGCTGTTGAAATCTATGCGTTTTGATGAAGTCCTGAACAAAAAGGTTGGCTCATGATTCATCTATTCCTTTGATTTCCGCGTTATAACGTTTTTGTTCTGGCGTAACCTACAAGTTTTTTCATACTTGTGTTGAATTTAATTTGCCAGGTTATAAGTCAGACATAGAAACAACATGAGACATGTGCCCTTGTGAAAGTTAATTGAATCAAATTACAGACTATAATACTTTCTTTAGTCTGAAAAGTCTGGCATCGTATTGACTGAAACTTTCACTGATCTCTTCAAGGCAGTGTATTTGGTTAAGACATTGCAATAATACGTTGTTTTCGTATATTCCACGTGTAAGTTTTGATTTTCGCGGCATGACTCCTGGAGATGGAAATTTTTCTCTCACAGTTCTTCGAATTCGTTGCAGTTCAGGCCCGGTTTAGACACCGAACTTTTCATGAACCTAACCTAATTCTAATTAAGACCGACCCAAATTATTTTGACCGCTGAATTAATTCAGACGCCGATTTTAATTCCAGCCGAATTAACTTTAAAAGGAGAAAAATGCTCATTTCGGTCAAACTGCTTGCAATACATGTTGTAATGGTTTATGCTCCGAGAGGTTTTTCTCCGGGTACTCCGGTTTTCCCCTCTCCACAAAAACCAACATTTCTAAATTCCAATTCGATCCGGAATGCTCGAGCGTTTAATACATGAGCCCCTGGCTCAGGAGATTGGGCAACCACTCCTCACGCTATCGAGCTTAAATAAAATTGATTTGATTTTGATTTGATTTGATGCGTTAGGGTTAGGCACCTGAAAGTTGGGAGTCTTCATCAAAGCCATTCCAAACTTGCTCCAATGTCGAAACTCTTGGCCGGGCTAGGCAGGAAGAACAGGTCAGCTGTTCCATCCTAATGGCATGGATTAAGACACTGAACTTTTAATGGAGTTTAAAATTCAATGTATTAGGTTCGGCTTGTTGAAAGCTTGGTGTCTGATATCATGTACAGAAAACAGGGCCATATTGTAAGGACCGTAACAGAAGTGCTATCATAGCTTTTTAGTCATGATGGGTTTTAGAAAAACAAGGCAGAAAAATATTTAACTTTAAAAGTTAGATAGCCTGCATAATTTGCAAGCATTTCCAAACAAGTTATTGCGTGAAAGTTGGCAAGCAAAAGGGAAAGAGAGGAAATGCTTTCCTTGCTTACACATCAGTTTTAATTGAACATATAAATGAGGGCAAGAGATATCACAGTGTATGGCTCACACAATCTATGTTTCAGAATTGAGCAGACTGCAAACTACATTATTAAGATAAAATAATGTAGATACTACAGACTTGTAGTTGAATTTGTTTTACCTTAAGACAGTTTTGTACAAGTGGTGTAAAACAAATGTTGATAAACAGCAGTCTAATCTGTCCTTTTTTGCATTAGGTGGACATGGAGAAGGTTAACTTGGATGTTGTAAAACCATGGATAACAAAGAAACTCATAGAAATTCTTGGATTTGAGGATGATGTCGTTATGCAGTATGTTTTAAACATGCTGGAATCTGAAAAGGTAAGAACAAGCTGTAGCCAGTACAGACCAAAAGAAAAATTATCATGTTTTGCCGTTTTAAGTTTATTCTAATCATAGGTGAATCCTCTGTCAGTGCCCCCACCTCTTAATGAAAGTGTGTGAAAGCCTTGTGTTTGTTGTCCTGTGCTGGTCTTCACCACAGGTTAACTTGCCTTATTTACACAAGGATTAGTGTCAGTTCAAATATTTTAACTCTCTTTACATTATTTTTGGGAGAAGGGTGGCACAGTCATGAAAGCATTCTCCTTCCACCAATTTGGCCCAGGATCAAATCCCGGCAACACCATTTGTTGGTTTAGTTTGTTGTTTGTTCACTCCTTTCTGTGGGTTCTCTGGTTTTCCACTCTCCTCAAAAACCAAAACTTCCAATTCCTATTCAATCTCGAACCCACAGCCACCTTTAAACAAGTTCTTAAGAATTCCCAAGGGCTTTGCGAGAAAACAAATTACAATCAAATGTTATTTTTTTAAAACAATTTTTCATTTCAGAGTCCTGATCCCAAGTTTATGCAAATCAATATAACTGGTTTTCTGCAAGCTAAGAATGCACGAGAATTTATGAAAGAGTTATGGACCCTTCTTCTAAGTGCTCAGGAGAACATTGGAGGCATACCATCATCTCTACTGGAGAAAAAGAAAGAAGAGATCAAGCAGAGAAAGGTTGGTGCAAAATTGAAAAATAAATACGTGTAACTGATTTATTAGCATGAGAAAGCAGTCAATGCTTTGTGATGTCAGCACAGGTTTCCCCACCAGGTGACATCAAAAAAATTATCATGGTTAGTGCTCTAGGGCTGAAAATAACGGAAAGCAGGTCGCCGGTCATGATGACCAGCCAAATATTTTTTAGCGCCGACAAACCCCGATTCTGGCCAGTCAAATAATGAATACCATAATATGTCCCATCGGTGAAACGTGATCTTTTTCGTTGCCTAGCAGGTGATCGAAAATCTCCTCCACAAAGGAGAAACTTCACTAACAACTTCAACACAGAATATTGACCTAAAACAGTAATATCCTTATGACATAAGCCTTTTTAATTAGTTACTATGACTGTTTCTTTATGCTGTTCAAAGCAACAAATTTTGCCACAAATATGACTAGTAATAACCAAAGGTTACAGAGTGCAGGCAACAATGATTGAAGGTCAAAATGCTTTTTGTCCAGCACTGTGCTTTGTGTAAAGTTTAACGTGACTGATTGTCAAAACATGTGTGATCATATTATTAGTGACAGAAGGTGCAAATGCGCATGATCAAGGTGCATTCTGTGCATTTCATACATTCTTAGTGGAAGTCCAAACAAATGCTGGTTACATACATGCAACACATGCATAATAACAACCTAAAGATTAGGATTGTGGGCTCCTCTTGTCGCCTGCAATCATTTTGGTGTAAAAGAATTTAAAAAGCTATAAGTGAGAATTTAGCTCTAAATTGAACAAATGTACTAACAGTTACATTTTCCTGTTGTATAATTCCTAAGCTGGAACAGGAACGACTTCAAGCAAGCTTACAAAGGTATCAAGGAGATCAACAGCAAACAGAGCCAGACAGTACTGCTGCTGATGATAATGTGGCCAATGAGAATGGGTCAGGTGGGCCCACAGATGACATCAATGAAGAAATAAGGAAAGCCAAGGAAGTGGCACGATCTCTCGCAGGAAAAGAAGTGAGTAGTATTTGGTTTCGGCTGTTTTAGTTTAGAATGTGTGGGAATAGTACCGGCCTATATTTATCTATCTGGGAAAGAAAAAGTACAGATTTTTGACAGACTGTATGGGTGTGGGACTGCACAATTTGACCAAATCCTCTCAATCTCTCAAAAATTAACACAATTCACACAATACTGAGTAAGGTGCTTAGTTTTACAGTTCATAACAACAAGATGTTTGGTACCTTTCAAACTCTTTTCATGCCATTCATTTCCAAAAACACCTTTGTTTTTTCTTTTGGTTGAACAACTTCCACAAGCAGTGGTAAAAAGCATTGAACTACAAGGCTTTCTTTGTAGCTCTGTTTGATCCTGGGTATCAGTTGGTTATGTAGATTCAATAAACGACATATATTTTGTAAATTGTTTGCAATGCTTTGTCAGATGGTTTCCTAAAGCATTTTTGTTTTCTGGGGATGCAAAGGCTGAAAGTCTAGCACCAAAAACTATTGAATGTTAGATACATTGTTTAGGTTCCACAATTCAACTTAAACAAAGAAACAACAAGCTTTGTAAATCAAAGTGTTCATGTCTATCAAGTGTAATTCCCAGTGAAAAAAACTTCACATTGATACAAACATGATAGGTTATGAAGTAATTGATGATTAATTGATGTGTGAAACAAATATTTTTAAAAACATTTATTTTATTGCCATGGTGAAGAACACCAGTAATTGCATCATTTTCAAGAGTGGGCTTAACATTATACTGAGACTTGTTACGTATTCCTTAAACCTATTTTGTTTTTGATGAATGTAGAGCAAACATGCACAATTCTTGCTTTTCCCATGCAATTTATTGCCCCCCAAATCAATCATAATTTTTTTTCCTGTGCCCTGTTAAGAACCCTGATATATGTTTATTGGAGGCCTAGAATAAGGCTTAAAATGAATTCTAATCAAATAGCAAATACTCCTTTTGTGTAATGAGCACATACAAGGTTCCAGTCACCCTTTTACAGGGCAGGGGACTCGGGGGCCGTTGGCAAGGGATTTTCTTGGCTACCATAAGCGTGACCCAGGCTAATTTTAACCAAACCTAAGGGACCATAAAAGGCAAAGGACCTTCGAACAGTTTAATTCCCCTGCCTACTTATTGCATCTACCCAGCATACCTGTAAATAAAGTGAATATTCCACTGCACTCACCAGTAACAGATGGTTAGAGTTCGAAAAGTCTGGTTGGATTTATTAACATGCTTTCAGTGTAGTAGAGTCAAATCTCAGACATGCACTTCATTTGGACTGTGTATTAAAAATGTATTTGACATCATTGACGAATGTCCTACATCAGTAGGGCCATATTTCTTACTCACCAAGAACAAGTTTGTGACATGTAAAAATGCAAGAATAGTAGGCATCATGATAATAAGAAGATGTAGTCTGGAAGGGTAGAAGGTACTCTTCTTACAGAAGGCAGATTTTTTTTACCTAACATTCCAAGTAAACAAGGCTTCTATCTTACTCTGGGATAGAGAAATGAAATATTAAAATCGTTAAGGTAAGCATACCCAGTGCATGTTTTTGTTACATCTGTGAATGGTGGTAGTTTAATAGTCAGAATTATGTTTGATTGTCTGCTCCCCATTGTTTAGATAATTATACAGTTAAATCACAAGGAATTTTATTAAGTATAGATTGTTGGTAAAATTATCACTCTTGTTGATAATGTTAGTACGGCTGAACTTGTATTTGTGATATTATATGTTGATGCAGGGTGCAAAGAAAGTCAGTTTTACAGCTTTCCATTTGGGCAAGCTCTAGCTAGCATGTCCTAGCCCGAAAGTCATTTAAGTTACCCCCAAAATAAAATTTTGGAAGAGCAAGATTGATTACCATCCTTCTTTAAGGTGAATTTTGTTAAAGAATTCACTCTCCCGTCCAGCAAGTTAAGGGCAGAATTGATTAACCCCGTAGCAAAATCCACCAGTCCTGTTGCTATGGACCCAACTTTCTTTGCACACTGTGATGTGATCAGATGGTGTAAATGGTGTTCACCAATGTGATTCCTGACCTCATTGCTGGGTATGTTATACACTCAGATGACTTGCTGTTGAAAGCTTGTGCTTCTGAAGTGAAGCAGTTAGTGGCACCTTACCAATATTTTGGACAAACAATGGACTAACGACATACAGTCAAACCTCTCTAAAACGGACACCAAAGGGACAGAGAGAAGTGTCTGTATTAGAGAGGTGTTTGTATAAAAGAGGTCACTATGATGACTCCAGTTACAGTTTTAAGTTTTCAGTAGCTTAAACCAGGCTCACACTCGTCTTTCAACTGCATTTAAAGTTATTAATTCACAGTACAAAGACACCGTCTTTCAGTAGCATACAACATCGGACATCTCAGCTACAGACAAATTACTGTTTAAAAGGAAATGAGCCACAACGCAATGCTGCATGTAAAAAGTGGTAATGTAAAGCACAATACTAAAAGAGTCTTTCACCATTTTGCAAGTTCAGTAAACAGCAACTATCAGAGTACAAAATGTTATAGAAAAGATCTTTATGCTATCTGTAGTTACTGAAGCCTTCAACAGTCAGTTATGTTCCTCTGTACACCTTTTGCAAATCGATGTTTGGTATACAGTGACTGGGCTTTATAATTATCACCTTGCATAGCTCGCCAGCCAGACTAGACGGGATTCACCCTGTGCAGATTCACGTGATTGGGGTTCTGGATTCACCTGATCACTGCAGTGTCCGTAGTGAAGAGGTTAAGTTTAGATGAATTTACTCTCTGGGACTGAGATTTAGTGTCCAATGTCTGTATTAGAGAGAGTTTGTATTATAGAGGTTTTTTTTTGAAGAAAATGTATAAAATTTTGTTGGGACATTAAAAACTGTCCGTAATAGAGAGGTGTCCGCACCAAGAGGTTCAACTGTACTCAGGAATACACTCAGCTTGATAATTTTATTCCACCTGTAATTATTGTAATATTAGTTTGTTAAATTTAATTTTTATTAACATGTGTTTATTCTAGACACCTCAGGACAGTCCTAAAAGAGACTACAAGAAGTCACGGCGAAACTCTGATCACTCAGACAGTGATGACAGTGATGATGAGGATGAGAAGCAATCAAAGAGAAAGAAAGAATCGCGCAGAAATGCTGAGGATAAAGATGAAAAGTCTGATTCCCCATCACTGATGAGAGTAAAAAAGGAGAAAGATGCTGATGAGAAAACTAGAAGCAAGTTTCTTCAACCAAAATGGCGATCGCGACTGCTATCCTCCGCTGCACGACCAGCTGAAAGGGACAAGCCAGGTTGGGATGCTGAACATAAACAGAATGTTGCACTTACAAAAACGCCAGACATAGATGTCGTCTTAACTGGAGATTCCATTATCAAGGGTCTTAGTCGTTATCCCAGAATTTGGAAGAAGTATTTTCAGCCTCTTAAGTCACTCAACCTTGGCATTGGTGGCGACAGAACACAGCATGTTTTGTGGCGACTTCAGAATGGAGAGATGGAGTGCGATCCTAAAGTAGTTGTTGTCCTATGTGGTACAAACAATTTGGACAAGAATAACACAGGGGAAATAGCTCAGGGAATATTGGCTATAGTTGATTATATTCGCAAGAAAAAGCCCAATGTCAGCATCGTTGTCTGTGGAATTCTTCCCAGGGACTTATATCCTAGCAAAAGGCGGGATAACATTGATGAGCTCAACGACGAGCTGTTTGAGTATATTAGCTATTCTGAAGAGCTACGTGACGAGTATGTTTATTTTCTGGCACCTGGGACAGGATGGACTAGGAAGGGCGGGAAGCTTGATGAGTCCCTTTACTTCACAGATCACTTGCATCTAGTGGAAGAAGGAGATGAGAAGCTGGCAAAATCGATCTCCCGTTTGGTCAAAGAACTTCTCAAAACTGATGCAGATGAAGGCAACCCTGTCCCTCATAAGAAGCTTCTCAAGGTATACTTTTATCTTCCCTTGATTGACCTTTGAATCCATGAAGCTAAGCTTGTCAACTCAGGATGTTGTTTTCTATTGCAGGTTTTTAATCTTGCTTATTGGTGTATGCAAATAACAGCTTCCTCCCTCTGCACTTTGCATCAGGCTTTTTTCTAATTATTTTTCTTGGATCCTGCTTCTTTCTGCTAATCCTTTCCCTACTGAACTTTCAGAGACTGTCAAAACAGAATTGACGAAAACAACCTACTCTTAAAGTGTAATACACCACTTAAGGTTTTAAGGTGTTCATCTTTCATGTTTAGATATCTTAAAGGGAGTAATGTGTTTGAGGTGACGGCATTTAAAATTTCAAGAGCAGAACCTTTAACAATTAAACGTATAATGGGTATATACCCCTTAACTATAGCTCATTTTGTAGCTACTTATCCATGGAACAATCTGAGACATTTGAGTTTCTTAAATCCAGTAGGCTGTAGACAGCTGTTGGTAGCATGGTGGCTGAGTGGTTAATACCTTGACCTTAAGATCTGGCAGCCGGTGTTTAAACCTTGTTGTTGCATTATTTCCTTAGACAAGACAAAAAAACTTTCCCCCACATTGTCTTTCTCTACCTGGGTGTATAATGGGTACTGGTGCTGCTAGTCATTGAACAACAGAGAAACTTGTTAGAAGCAGTAGGCGATGAGGTACCAGGTTCATATGTGCCTTTCAGTTAGTTACCATTGTACCTACTTTAACCACCTCCTGGTTAGCTCAGTTGGGAGAGTGCCGGTCTACTGAGTGGGCAGTTGTGGGTTCAAACCCTGGCCAGACCAGCACTCAGGGTCTTTAAAAGTGAAAAGAAAGTGTTGCCTTTGTAATTGCTTCTGCAAATGATTAGAGTTTTTAGTCTTCCCAGATAAGGAAGAAAAACCATAGGTCGCATCTCACAGCACTTACACTTCTCTGGTTATTGTGGGACATAAAAGAACCCACACCACTGTTCCAAAAGGTTGGGGGATGTAGACCCCGGTGGTGTGGTCTAATGTCTACCATCTCTGACGATCAGTACATAGCTTCTGTTGCTATTACTCATCTGTTGGGTGCTGGGCAACATTAAAAAAAGCTTCTTCTTCTGTTGCTCATGAACCAAACCCATTTGCTTGGCAATTGAACTTGCTAAACTGATTTTTTTAATTGCTGATACTTTTTTAATTTTATGGAGCACCAATATCTCTATTCTAAGAAATTTCATTTTGTGTTGCAATGTCATGTTTCATCTCTGCAATGAGTGCTGCATACTCAAGCAAGAAAGCTCTTTCTTGTCATAGTTTGGATACCTTAACAACAGAAACACAGAAGTTTCTGTAAAATTAATTATATGAGTACCATGTAGGGTAGAACTTTGACAGCTGCTTATGGCTGGATTTTATGTTTAAGTGTTGATTTAGAATGGGGAACTCAAGTAATAACTCTTGCTTGTTACAATAAATGGTTGCTTTGTACAGTTGAATATTCACAGAATTCTAGGCGTTATTTTTTTTAAAAAGGAAAATAAAAAGGCTAGCAATTCGCTCTGGTCATTTGTGTTTGTTGTGGAATTGTATTTAAAGTTGTAACAACTTGCTTAACTGCAAGTAGTGGGTCTAAGATAGGGCCACTGCTTTTGAATGCACTGTCCACGTTCTTCAACAACTTTGTTTGATCAGTTGGTCTGTTTGCTGTGCGAGAACTCCTATTGCACTCCAACAGATTAATTACAATGTACTGACTTAGATATATGTTAAAAATAATCTTTTTTTTCTTCGTCAGGAAAAGGAGATTGAAGAAACGGAAAAAGCGAAGAAAGGTACGTTTTAATAAAATGTAGTTGTTTTCAAGCAAGGGAGCATGAATTTATGTCTGTTTGAAACGGAAGGAGTCATTTTCTACCCAAGAAATGCCCTCAAAGTTACATGTTTATGACAAATCACTCCTTCATAGACTTGCTGAATTAATTTGGGCCTTTATCTGTGAACATTTAGACATGGTTTCCCTTTTTTTTTACACTTGTATGTGGTTTGTACAGAGTTATTAGTTCTGCTGAACAAACGAATTGCACAAAAAAAACATCCTCTGTAGTCAATCAGATCTCCAAAATTGCAAGTTCTTTGATTCGTAAATTAAAATATGGAGGAGCTGATTCGAGAACTTGGCATGCTCGCATTGTTTCCAAGCCCTCTTACCCACAGTTCAACATTTTTTTTAACAACAACTGTCATAGCTCTCTTTGTTGAACAAGTTGTATTTGTACTTGTTGAACGGAAAGGAGCTTACTATCTCTATTTTCGTGCAACAACGTTCTGCATGTTGGATGGTTTTTTCAACCTTTAACAAGGCATGATGGGCATTTTTGGAACCTTTTGTCACTTTCTTTGCTTCACACTACCCCTCCTAGCACTGGTAACATAATTTTATAATGTACTGGGGGTTAACTGATGATGAGCAAGCATAATGTCACAGGAATCTTCACTCTTCTCCAGGGATAAACCTTGTAGGCACCAGCACTGAGACTCGAATAATCCTTTACCCTTTTTTTAGAAATTGGTATTATGTTCAGTAATATTTTAGAGCTTGAAAACGGCAAAATGCACTTTGTTCTGCCAGTGTCGTATTGTTTACTCCGCTTTCTATTTTGGTCCTATTTTTAAGGTAATTTAGAATTTTTCTTACAAACAATGTATTTTTAAGCTGGGAAAAGATAGAAAATCGACTTTTCAAACCATTAATGATAGCTCGCTGTGCTTAAACCAAGGAATGTCGGGGCCAGCTGAATATTTAATGTTTATTTCTACCCTTAAGTGTCTATAAAGCTCAAATGTATTTTTTGTTGCAGAAAATGCTAAGGAAAAAGATGCCAAGTAAGTTTCTATAATTATTTTCTGCTTCTGCCTAACGTTTTGGTTTGAAGTATTTGCTACTTACTTGAAAATATGCTAACGGTTATTATCTCCGTTGTTGAATTTTAGAAGGGATCGTTCCAGCTCCCGCTCAAGATCAAGGTCACGATCTGGTGGAAGGGAAAGAAAGCGATCACGTGACAAGAAAGGACGCAGGCGCAGTAGTTCTAAGTCCTCTGCTTCCCGATCACGATCTCGGTCTCACTCCAAATCGAGGTCGCGCAGTCGTGAGCGAAGAAGACGCTCTCGATCTCGTTCACCCCGACGCGTTTCTTCTTACAGCAGAACGCAACGATGGTCTCCGTACAGGCGACGCAGGTCACCATCACCAAGATGGGTTCCACCCAGACGAAGATCACCTCCGCGACGCAGGTAAAGTAGTTAAAATCTAATGATTCGTAGCAAGCATTTTTTAGGTATTAGCAAAATTATATCAAATATCATTGAGTTGTTCCAAAAAAATATGAGATGGTGTTACTAAGTCTTTTATCTCTCCAACAAATGCATAATAGTTAAGCTCTATTCACACAGATGAATTGTTTATTTTCTCCTTTGTGAGCAGAGCTTTACTGATACTCTATTTGCTCTACCCTTTTACTGCGCTTTTCAAAAACACGCGAATTCTGACGTTCAAAACCCAACTGACATTTGACCTAATGCATACATTACTCTGATATATTTTCACTTGTAAGCATTGTAGACCATTGTGCATTGTGAAAATGAATTGATTCCGTCAAATTAAGTTCGAGGTTTGAATCAACCGTCGAACTTATAGTTTTGTTTAATAATGACAGCAATAGCTTAAGAACAACGTAAAATAGATCAGTTGTTTTGAAAAATAACAGCAATAATGTAATGTTGCTGGTGGGAGCGGTGTCTATCAACATTTTTGCTCCTTGACACAGTAAGTGCCTTATGTGAAACTGTGGCTTTCCTTTGTTATTGAATTAATACCCGTGGAAGTCCTCAAACCACGGACAGTGCGTAATGCTATTAACTGAAACTGATATACTGTGTTTGCAGATCTCGCTCTCGTTCTCCACGTCGTAGGTCACGTCGTTCCTCATCTCCTCGACGGCGTTCACGTTCCAATTCAGCCTCTTCACGTTCACGATCACGTTCTGTGAGTTTCAGCTCACGTTCCTCACGCTCGCGTTCAGGATCTCCTGCTGCCGAAACATCGCGAAAGGAGAAAAAAGAGAAAGGGAAAGACAAGAAGGAAAAAGAAGTTGAGAAAGAGAAAGAAAAAGAAAAAGAAGAGGAAAAAGAAAAGGAGAAATCAGCGAGTCCGGAGAAGGGTAAGGCGTCTGCGGAGTCTCCTGTTCCACCGCCAACACACCACAGGTCAACTTACAAGAAAAAAGAACAACAGCAATCACCAGTCAAACAACCTTCACCTTCATCGTCATCACCATCACCTTCACCCGCCCCCCCGCCTGTTAAAGAAGAGAAAGAGGAGATGAAAGAGAAAGAGGAAAAGGAAGAGTCACCGCCTTTACCCAAATCCAAGAAAACAACGAGTCGTCGCTACCGCAAACATTCACCGTCGCCGTCCTCGTCTGAAGAGGAGTGGTCGCCGGAAAGAAAGAAAAAAGCAGATTCTTCAAAGGATCGCAGGAAGGAGCGGGAGCGAAGTGAGTCTCCACGGGACAGGAGAAGGAAACGCAAAGATTCCTCACCCTCCCCGATGAGAAAACGACGAGAATCTCCCCCCTCTCCCAGAAGAAAGAGGATGCAAGACTCGCGTTCACCCGCTGCACGAAGAAAGCGAAGAGAAAATTCTCGCTCAGCATCACCTCCGCGAAGACGTCCTCAGGAAAAACGTTCTGTCTCACCACCCCGTCGAAGGAGAAGGTCTGATTACTCTCCTTCTCCTTCCCCCAGAGAAAGGCGCCGACGCCTGGACCCCTCCCCTCCACGCAGCAGGGAGAGACGAAAGGAACGAATGTCACCCCCACCCCCTCCACCTCCTCGAAGACGGCGTCGATCGAGCTCGTCTCCACGTCGGTCGGAATCGTCCCCACCGTCGCGTTCTGCTGACAGAGGACAGAAAGAGCGTCGCCGTTCACCCGAGCCGGAAAAGGACGCTCGGAGAAGGAAGCGGTCGGAACGTTCACGATCACGATCATCATCTGCCTCACCAGAGCCCCAGCAGAAGCCACAGGCTGCGGACAAATCAAAGGTGCGACAAACTAGGCGATCATCATCTTCTTCCGCGTCTCCTGAACCCGAACCCGAGAAAAAGAAACCACGCGAGGCTCGAGAATCTTCTGAAGGGAAGAAAGCGGCAAAGAGACGGTCACGGTCAGCGTCTCCTGAGCGGCAAACACGAGGACGCAAACGCGTGGAACATAAATCAGCCTCCGTGTCACCTGAAAGGTGAGGCATGCTTAGTAACTCAAGCTGAAAAGCACGGTCGTTGAGTGAACCATCTAAACTTCATCAACATAAGCATATTTCAAAAGGTTGAGCTCTATAGTAGTCATTACGTCAGTTTTAACTAAGCTAGCGAAAACGTATCACCCGCCATAACGATATAATGCTAATCTTGGTACCTCTTTGGTTGCTTTTATCTTAATGAACGCCCTCAAGTGCTTTTCCGGTACCTTTTAGGGGCCTGTTAGGGTGTCGAGCCGAAAAATGAATAGTCCTAAGCAGCTTTTCATTAGAGACCATAAGATTCAAAGACGAGTACGACTTCGAGGACGAGATTTCCTCAATATTAAGTAGTGTGCACGTGCGAAGCAGCGTCATTTTTGACAGGAAAATGTGATAGCCGTCGTCTTTCTACTACGGGTTTTAGCGAGAATCTCGTAGTAGCGTAAACAAGTTATCAAATGTTAGAAGTTTTATTATTTTGTGATCAAGAAAGGGTTTAACCTTGTCCAATAAAGATAACAGTGCTAACTTTTCTCGGGGGGAAGTACAATGAAGAATTCCGGGGTGACAATACGCGAAAAAACTTTTTTAATCAAATCTCGTACTCGAAGTCGTTCTCGTCCTCGAATCTAAAGGTCTCTTATGCCTTGCGTGACGGCTGCGTAGGAGAGGATGAGAGTCACGTGGTACTTAATTAATTTTTGGGATCAATTAAGGTTTCTTGGAAACTGCCCACCTACCCCTCGACTAAGCGAACATTATCACTTACTTCTCACTTAGGGCAAAATGTTGGCGTAGGGGATGGGTAGGTGGTCAGTTTGCCCAGAAACCTAAATTGACCCAATTTTTGGTACCCCCTAGAGTTGTTTTGGGATTTTCCGACGGGCATCCGTGCTGTTTTTCTAACGGAGTATCCCCGGGTGCTATAATCACTGAGCTGTAGTTGAACTCATGGGTCATTTATTATGGTTCACATGTGACATAATCTTGTTGCTTTCTCAGGCCTAAAAGTCGAAAATCAGCGCCAGCTAGGTCAGATTCTCCTGCTCGTAAAACCAAGTCACGTACTAAACGATCTGCCTCAGCTTCACCCCCGCCGTCCAAGACTGCCCGCGCACGTGGCTCAAGACGTTCCCGTTCTTCTTCCCCAGAACAGCAAGAAAAATCAAAGTCTCACGCTGCTAAGCAATCTCCTAAGCCGTCTGTTTCACCCGAACCTCGTCAACAGGCTCGATCGGCCAAGAAAAGCCCTTCGGCATCTCCACCACGCGAGCGGGTCAAGCGAAAGGCAGCGACCGAGAGGGCCTCAGACGGAGATCATTCTCCAGAGCCCCCTGTCAGGAAGGCCCGCAAAAGTCCTTCCGTGAAAGAAGAAGAGGAGGTGCCTAAGAAGTCCCCTAGTAAATCACCTCCTGCAAAGGTAATGATTAAAGCCTGTTCCAGCTGGTTCCTACGAAGTAGAGACCTTTAGATTCTACGACGAGTACGAGATTCTCTCAGTACCAGGTAGCACTCGCACGTGAACCAGTGTCATTTTGGCGGGAAAACGTGGTAGCCGTCGTCATTCTACTACGAGTTTTAGGGAGAATGTCGATGTGGCGGAAACAAGTTATTAAATGTTAGAACTTTTATCATTTTGCGATCGGGAGAGGGAGTACCCTCCTTCACTAAAGATAACAGTGCTAACTTTTACAGTGAAAAAAAGTAAAAAAAAAAAAACTTTTCGGGGAGTGTATATTTTCAGAATACGCGAAAAAACTTTAAAACTACTCGCAGTTGTCCTGGTCCTCAAATCTTAAGGTCTCTACTAATGTGCAGAGATCGTGAAAATACACGCACGTTGTATTTTCACGTGACTTGTTTTCGTGACCTCTCTGCAATCTGAGAGCGTTGCACATGCTAAAAGACATCCTGCATTTTAGTTTATTGGAAGCGTTTGCCATCAATATTTAAAATTTGGGCTTCAATTAAGTTATTGTTTTTTACGAGCTCCTGATTGGCCCACAACCATCGTTCTCGGAATGCAGTGTTATTTTCCCGTAATCTGATTTGTCAACTTTGTCTTAGTGGCCCCGGTTACAGAACTCGCACTGCAAAGTGTCCATGTGTTTAGCACGAAAGTCATAATTGAGGATACTTTAGTTGCGTCTCCTTCCGGAGACAGAACCGCCACCGGGGGTCGAACCCGTGACCTCTCGCTCTGCCGTCCAGTTTTGGGCGATCCCGCACCTATTTGAAAGATTGTTTTTTATTAGCTGGGAAAACAACAGGGATTGTCACATAACAATGCCACTATCCAAGAAAACAATGGAGTGTAGATTAAAGGGGACCACTGAAATAAGAGGTTTAGAACGGTTTAGGTTTATTGCCAGTTTTGCATTTACTGGTTTTTAGTTCAAAACTTTCTGAATAAATCGAATGCATTTCAATACGTTTGGAACAATAACCAAGGGAGGCTCATATCCGGTGGGGCTTATGATCGGATGTATTTTTTTGTTTACAAGTAGGAAAGGGGGGGGGAGGGCTTATAATGTGGGGCAGTCGCCAGTGTACAGTATAGTAATTTTGTTGTTACTTTTGGCAGGAAAGCTCGGGAGAGGAGCCTGAAAAATCAGAAGAGAAGGAAGCTAAAGGAGAGAAGAAGAAAAAGCATAAGAAACACAAGAAACATAGTGGCTCAAAACACAAACACAAGCGTTCAAAACACAAGAAACACAAAGACAAAGACAAGTCGCCGGTGGTAAGTGAAGTTTTTATGTTCTTCAAGCTCTTGTTGGCACCAAAAGTTGCTACTTGTTTTGCAACATTTGCTTCGAAAAGAGTTGAATTGACCACTCCAGTAAGTACCATAACATACCATGATGCTCTTTGTTTGTCGCCCCAAAATTTTGCATAAGCATTGTCATCACTCTTGGGAGTTAAAATGGCCTCAAGAGTATCTGAAGACAATGCTTATGCAAAACTTTGGGGCGACAAACAGAGAGCATTATGGTATGTTATGGTATTTTGTGGAGTGGTCAATACCAATGTTCTGCTTTCCACCTAGCCTGCGAACAGCAGACGCATTTCCGGTCGTCGCTTCTCACGACCGGAAATGCGTCTACTGTTCGCAGGTTACGTTCTACCAATCCCAAGTTCAGATCTGTCTTGCAGCCAATCAGGTTCTTGCAAGTGGCGTGAATACTGACTACTGATTGGATAAAATTACGCGGGAGTCGCGTCACTTTAATGCAAAACAAGTTTTCTTTAGGTCGGTAAAACGCGCAACATGTAAAGATTTTGCTGTAAAAAATAGAACTGCTCTTTACTTTCTACAACAACTTTTCGCAACCTGCAACAACCCGATTTGTTGCAAGGCAGGTTTGATTCGTGGCCGGTAAAACGCTCAACTCCGCTATTCAGCTCGTTTTGCAGCAATTACGCAAAACAAGTTGTACGTTTTGTTGCCCGTTTAACCTTTCTTTACAGTTCAGCGAATTTTTTTCATTCAACTAAGGGCAAGGCCAAACGTCGAACTTTTCATGCGACGAACCAAACTGAGTGAGTTAACTTCATGATAAGTCCAACTTTTGTGTCAGTTAAGTTCGTCTGAATGAGTCTGAATTGACAAACACGTTCTACCCGTCCGCTTCAGACGGATAGAACGTGTAAAGATCGTCTCGGGGGCAAACGTCGATCTTCTTATGAGACGAAGTCAAAAGATAAATTAAAAATTTGTATCGTCATTGGACTGTTTGAAAACTGTTTCGTATCATATTGTTTTCTTTTGAATTTAGTTCATCGACGCTATAAAGTTATGTTCGACTTTGACCTAAATGGCAATTTGTTTCGTTTCATGAAAAGATTGGACGTCTGCCCTTGACCAAGAGACCTTTTCTGCATTCCCGTAAATAAAGGCACCAACTCAAGGCCTGAAGTGAAGTAATTTGTATGAAACTGTCCCCGACCCCGCTTCTTTGGGTTAACGGTCGTTTCTCCTGTGAGTCGTTTCGCTAACTTCCCGGATTGTGTTCGCCAACTTCTAAGTCATTTCGCGTACTTGTTGGGTCAGTTCCCCAACTGCTTTCGCCTTATAAGTGCAAGAACCACTGTAAATCAGAAAGATCTGTTTTAGCCCTAAAAATGGGGCCGTTTCGGTGAGTAAAATACAGTCCTGTTTTTGACAGGGTTGGCACAGTCTTGAAAAAGTCCGTGAATATTTTAGGGGAAGTCCTTGAAAAGTCCTTAAATTCCATTTTTCCTTGAAAAGTCCTAAATTTCAGTGCAAGTCCTTGAATTTTTTTCAACTTTGAATGTAGTGGCCTGGCAAGTGTTTTTGATGATTTTTTGTTGTCCAAGACAGAATATGAATCATAACTCAGAGCATTTAAAGGTTATTTACACAAAGTGCTCAATGTTTTATGCAATAATGAACTATCAATTTAAGAGAAGTGAACTGAAAAATGTAGAGAAGTTGGTGAAGCAAACAGTTCAAGCCTTAGAGCCTTATAAGAATAGACTGGAAATGTGCATTTTTGTAAAATCGGTGAAATTATATTCCTAGAAGGTGGTCCTTGAAAATCTAATGTGGTCCTTGAAAAGCCCTTGAAAAGTCCTTGAAAAATGGTTGGAATTTTTTGTATGAACCCTGTTTGAGTGAAAAAAAAACAAGGCCAATACAGTCCAATTAGCTAGGGCTGATTGGGTCCCAAGGGCTGAAATGGGCCCAAGCGTGGGCTATAATAGCCTTTTGTTTGAGCTTTTCTGGCCTAAATTGTGCTCAAATGGCTCCATGAAGGGCTGAACAGACTTTGTCCTGCAGGGCTGAATTGACACTTTGGGGCTAAATCAGATGTTTTTAATTTTCAGTGTAGGTATACAGCTATTTCGAGAAAGGTTGTCGGAAAAAGTGCACGCGACAATCCCGAAAGGTATTGTGGATGGTTTTGAGTTCACTGTTCTTCAAAGAAATTTGAAGGAATGGCACGAGAGCCATAGACGTATGTTTGCGAATGCTAAAGGAATTAAGCAACAATCGAAGATTCGACAGCTACTTTGTTAGCAACAGCGTATTGACCATATCCCATATTACCTTTCGGGATTGTCGCGTGCACATTTTTTTCCGACAACCTTTCTCGAAATAGCTGTATACTAGTCTGCTACACAGCCGTTTTTAGTGTCGTCACGCAACCCCAGTGGGGAGGAGCGTTGCGTGACGACACTAAAAACGGCTGTATAGCAGACTAAGGTATATACATGCGTATCGCACTCTTTTGTATCATGGCTGAGAGAACGAAGCATATACATCCGCAGCGCTCGGTTCGCTTCTCAGCGGAACGACGTAAAACGTTAGCGAGCGGGACGTTAGCGATACGACTCGCAGGTGAAACGACCGGTCAACCTTCATTGCGTGCTCATTAGAGTGGATTGCGGCACAGGCTGCCCAGACGTAGTATGTGTTACTGAATGAATATATTAATATCCACATGGACAAATTAATGCGATGAGTCGTCGAAACTCCCATGGACTAAAATAGTCTAAAAGTCAAAATATAACAAAGCAAAGCTAAGATACCTTCAACTGAACGTATCCTTGTCTTTCCTGGCCGGTTTAAGTGGCATTTTGTTGAGTTTTGAAATTGTAGGTACTATCCACTAAAGAAGAATTAAAGGCTGGCTACAAAACAAACAGACCATCTCCACGCGCCTTCACACGAAGCGCTATAAATTCGAGAATAATCGACGAATCCGCTCCAAATAACCATCGGCTAATCTGCAGGTAACGTGTGCTCCTGCTTCTGGCTCGCTTGCTCCACAAAACCCATCACAACTGCACAATAATTGCTCGCTCATCAACAACCACTGTTGACCTTTACGCTTCGATATGACCGCATACGACCAGGTTTAATACGCGACGTGAATATTCAAGCTTAGCGACCGCGTTCGCGCAACAATGCAGCACTTGCTATGGGAGGGATGGTACTATTGCTTCCAGGTCAATCAATCGGGAAAATAATATTGATGCCCTTGTCATTTTTTAAAAAGATCCAATTTGCCCAAGGAGCACCGAACAGATACGAATCTTATAGCGGAGCTAAAAAAAATGAGCGGCAGTGGAAAAAGTGAATAAGAACATGTACCACATTTTCTCCATAAAAAGTGAAAACCAGGAAGTTTTCTGGACGTTTCACGTTGCAGTCATGCAAATCAACGGCAAGGAAATGTACAAGAAAGTGTGCTGCAATTAGACCTATTGTTGTTTTTCACAGTTCTGGTCAAGGGCATCCAACTTTTAATTTTTCACATTTCACTCACCGGGTTAGGCTATTTTTCTTAGAGAGTAAAATGGAATCCTAAAATTTTCGGATTCAAAAATGTGATGAAAGAAGGTATCTGAAAAATTATCTCCTTCGTAATACGTTAAATTGCATCTAAAATTTTCGGGAAAATAATTCTGAATTCCTCGTAATTTCGAAAAGACTCAAGTTCCTCTAGAATGGCCGAACACTGAGATGCAAATTTTATAGCGCCACTTAGAATGCATTTCTATAGAGCTAAAAGTACTTTATGAATAGCTACAGAAGTGTTTTCAATTGAAAGTATTTGAGGAAACAGTCGTTGGGTGGCCCTGTCTCGTTGCCTTCTCCGCTTAGCATTACACGATATATTTTATATTTAGTATGAGCAAACTATAAATCATTAGCTTCGCTTTTAGCCCTCCTGACTAAATTTATGTAAGCGCTGTTTAGAATACATTTTTCGATCAAAAGTACCCTGGACAGCCTTAAATGTGTTTTCGATGCATTTAGGGGGAAATCATCGTTGGGTGCCCCTGAGTTTTGAGAATAATAATAATAATAAAAAAAGATATCGCGCACATAAATTTTACCTTACGATATCTTCAGCTGTATCTTCTATTCAGCTGCATAGCGGGGGCCAGATTTTGCCTTTTTCCTGGGCGGAAAATTCTCGTCCTCCTTCACCAGTTTGGACAACATATTATGGAGTAAGACGTTGTTAATCTAAGCAAATAAGTCTGGTAGAGTCAAGAACCTATGCAAGCGGCTGGACGAACAATGTGACAGCAGCTGAGACAGCGAACGTTAGAAGAATTCGAACATGAAAACCAGGGCTGCCCTGTTGAAAACTTACGGACGGTCCCGCGATCGCCTTTTGTTTTCTGGTCAAAACTAACGCAGCGAACCTTCGGTCAGTCGATTGACCTGGAAGCAATAGTACCATCCCTCCCATAGCAAGTGCTGCATTGTTGCGCGAACGCGGTCGCTAAGCTTGAATATTCACGTCGCGTATTAAACCTGGTCGTTTGCGGTCATATCGAAGCGTAAAGGTCAACAGTGGTTGTTGATGAGCGAGCAATTATTGTGCAGTTGTGATGGGTTTTGTGGAGCAAGCGAGCCAGAAGCAGGAGCACACGTTACCTGCAGATTAGCCGATGGTTATTTGGAGCGGATTCGTCGATTATTCTCGAATTTATAGCGCTTCGTGTGAAGGCGCGTGGAGATGGTCTGTTTGTTTTGTAGCCAGCCTTTAATTCTTCTTTAGTGGATAGTACCTACAATTTCAAAACTCAACAAAATGCCACTTAAACCGGCCAGGAAAGACAAGGATACGTTCAGTTGAAGGTATCTTAGCTTTGTTTTGTTATATTTTGACTTTTAGACTATTTTAGTCCATGGGAGTTTCGACGACTCATCGCATTAATTTGTCCATGTGGATATTAATATATTCATTCAGTGACACATACTACGTCTGGGCTGCCTGTGATTGCGGAAAAAGTCGATTGACAAAGCTCCTCTTACGTGTTCGTCGCCAGGGCCGCCTAGATTGCATGCAGACTTGAATTCTATTTGAGTATACGTATGCTTGTAAATGTGCCCTCTCAACATGTGCCCGTCTCGTGTAGCGCCTACAAAATAAAGTGACGAATAATAATCGAATCTTGAAAAGCCCCTCGTCGGACAGCTGAAAATTAAGATGATTTGCAGTCTGTCTACTTTGAAATGTATGCAAAATGTGAAAGCATGTGTGGTTCAGGTTACTGTTCACAAATCATCCAGCCTAATCTTCAGTGTTTTGTTACTCGAAATTTATTATTAGTCACGCTACCAAGTTGCCTTGTATGTTTGTCGTTTTAAAAAGGGAAAAATTTTTCCAGTTAGTAAAATGACTGTGTGTCGAAAAGAAACGACTAAATGACTGTGTAGATGGCAACAGCTTGAAATTATTAACTGCCGCTTGGTAAACTTTCGCCTCCGCGACTTTGTTTACATTGAAATGAAATCTAAAGAAGAAAAAAAAATTGAATTAGCCTGTCCTATCAAATCTTAAATTTGAAAAAGAACAGGGTTTTTTTAGTTCCAATGTTTGAGGTAAACAAAATCCGGGCTTGGTAGACAGTCATTTACACAATTGTATAAGGTTTTTACAACAGATTGCATTAAGCGATCCGGTTGTGTTTTCGCAATAATTTCGGGGGTATCTTCACCCCAGTTTTGTAGTCTGGCTCCCCAATAGTGATTTAAACGTAGGAGATCTACGGGAAAATTTATCGACGTTCCCTGTTTAAGTGAGTTGTGATGTACTATCGCCCTGCTTACATGAGCAGGTTTGTATATTGGCTTAACAAGCGGGTTTGCGGGCCCATGTGTTCTCCGCCATATTCTATCGATAAGAAGAGGGTGTTTGCTATCGTCCAGTGGTTTTCCTAGAAATAAAAAATTTTGCATGGTTAATTCTGATGCTCGAGGCACCTTTTTACTAAACTGTTTTACAGCTCTCTGCACGAAGAAAGGTTGTTGATCCGTGGGGCTGAAAGGGTACTCGTCGATATCAATCGCTGATTGCCACATAGTTTCGTGCCCAAATCGCTCGATACAGTCCTGATAAGCGGCGTGTTGTGTGCCGGCAATGGAATATGGATATGCTCTGTGACTCCAGTCAACATAAGTCACAAATCCTTCGTCAATAAGCGATTTCAAAGCTAGTATTTGTGACTCGTTCTTAAGCACGTAAGCATCGTAAATATAGACGTGTTCAAATCCAGCATACCGAAGATAATAAAGCCATTGTTTCATTTCCCGAGTGGTTAACTTCGCGAGGTCTTTATAGTAAATTCGCACAAGAAGCACGGCTGTTAAAAAGAAAGGCTTCGATGACTTTTCTTTTAAGTGGCACCAGATTTGACAATTAATTTTCTTTGTTGTTATGGTGGCATTTTCCTCCTTCCCATCTGTTGTTTTCACTATTTGCCGAGTGACAGTATTTATTTGCCTTGTGTCCTCAGAGATTGGCGAGTCGTAAGGTTTCAGTGTAACTTTAGTGAAGTTTATCCTTGGTTGACCGGATGAGTAGTTAATTTCACTGCTGAATTTCTTGTCAACAGCATTTATTATGCGGAGACCAAACGTATGCATAAGAAGAACCACAAATAACGCGTAAAACAAGACTAACATCCATAACAGCTTCCTTGTTGAGAAAATATGTCGACGTCCACAACGTTTTGGAAGGAAGTTCGTGCAATTTAGTAGCGCCATTTTCATAACCAGTGTCTGAAAGTCAAAAGTATAAAGATTGACACCATGTTTACACCCTATCACTGCTTTTTACTAGAACTAATTTTCACGTGACAATCCTGAGGTGGCCAATGATCAAAATAATCGAAGAATAAGCTGCAGAATGACTCGACAACAACGAAACTCAGCTATGCGGAACAAATGTCACAAATTCAAGGTTTTAGAAATATTTTCGAGTATGGTAGTGACCAATAAATATAATTATGTTCTTTTGAAACATTTAGTGTATTTTTATTTATTTATTTATTTATTTACTCGCTAACTTATTTATTTATTTATACGATTTATATTTACGAATGTCTATAAAGTTAAGCTAAGTCCTTAGAATTAACATATGAATGAGTTAAATATTGAATATCCTTTGGCTCAAGCCAAGTCAGACGTCGAGCTTCATATGTGACGGGCATTTTCTTCGTTTTCGTTGTCACGCAATCAACACGGGCCCCAAAAAATACATTGGAAACCGTCCTGTGGAAGAAGCCAAGAAAATGAATGTTATAAAAGACTAATATATAAACAATTTGTCCAAATCTCACGTCTTTGTGGCCCACAGTTTCTGACTTATTTGCCGAAACGTTTCACGCATGTTGAATCGATTTGATGACGTCACTGTGAAAACTATCAATATGCAAAGTCTGTTGTTCTTAGTCATTACCATCAGGTTCGTCTCTTGTAAAGTTCGCCTTTTGACCCAGGCCTTACATGTTCAAAAACCGGCCACAAAAATACATCCTTAGGCCCTTCTTAAATTTAAAGAGTGAGATGTTTTCTTCCCACGATAGCTTGCTTTTAATTATTTAAAACGAAGCGTTCCCCTTCTTTTTCTTTTTACTGCGCTTAGCGATAAAAAGGACACTTTTTAATTTTCCCTTTTTTACCTCAGTTATTTTATTTTATTTTCTTTTGTAATTTTATAAACGACTCTGGATTTCCGTTTTCCTGCCCTTGCATCGATCCGAAACTGAATTTTAAAAAGTTTTTCTTACTATTAACATTCGAAAACAAAAAAGATTAAATGCCAGGGTGAACATGCAGTAATTTTCATGAATCAAATTGTAAATTTCGATTGGTAAGGCATTAAATTTCCACGTCTAACCCGGACAGGTTCTACAAATCTTTTCCGATGGAGTTGAAGTGAAAATGAACTGAAGTTTTCCGTCTGGCAAAATTATCGTAATGAACGTGGCAGGCGAATTTCGTTCATTTGGATCGACCCAAACTGTGTGAACTGAGCTCGGTTAATGAAATGTGCCTTGTTTATTCTGCGTCTAGGTTGATTTTGTGAGATAGTGACCGTGTTGTCGTCTCTTTTCTTTAAGCAGTCGGATGGAAGTGTGGAAGAGGATGACACGGAAACATTGGAAAAGAAGCTCCGGGAGAAAGCCTTACAGTCCATGCAAAGACACAACAAATCTCCCGAGGCCCAACCAGACGAAGACTGATTAGTCTGTGTTAAAGATCCTCTCGCTACCACCAAGGAAAAACATTTTTATCTAGGACCAAAAACCACGCATTACCTGGAGATGTTGTGGGGTGTGGGTTTTCAAATGGAATCGACTCAACACTTCTTTGGGTTGATTTTAGCTGTAACCACGGGATGGAGACGGAGTCGTGATGCTAAGTGAAGGACTATCAGTGCTCTATATTACCTCACAAATCTTAGCTTGTCTTGCTTGGAGCAAAGTGCAACTCGCCCATGTAAATACTACATGATTTCTCAATTTATGTGTTCGCTTCCGAAGACAAATGTAACCTGATCAGCTTTCATTTAATTTCATTATCGCTTGCTATCATGTTTTCATGACAGTGCAACCATGGAAATAAGGGACGGACCATGAGAAAACTTATAGGGCGGGCGGAGTACCAAAAAATTTTCGCGCAAGGGAAACTTAAATGAAAAAAAATTCTTGCACTCCAATTAATCCTAAAAAAATATTCATGCTATGGCCTAAAAAATATTCATACAAGGAATTTGATAACGAAAAAAAAATTCCTGCGGCTCGAAAAATTACCCCCACCCCCCCCCCCCCCCCCCCCCCTCACAAAACTTCACTACCCGACCACCACACCCCCCACCCCACCACACTCACACACGCACAAGAGATACACGCGCTTCGCTCAACCATGCACACCGAGAGGACGGTCGGAGAACCCCCCCCCCCCCCCACCCCGATAACTTTTCTAATGGTCCGTCCCTAAAGAAAGGCTCCGTCCACGCGTATCAGATGAAAACGGTGACGGAAGACGCATTGTTTCAAAAACGCTTGTCAGAGTGGAGAGTTTTGAAAACGCCAGCTTCTCGTTTACGTGTGGGCGGACGAAAACGGAGCTGATGTCAAACATCATGTACTTCTTGCATGACTCAAGTTCTGTGAGAGATGCTGTTGTATTTCTATCGTTTCAGCGTTTTCGCGTGGACTGGCGAACATCTCCGTTTTCAAAAATATCCACATACGTGTGGTCGGGGCTTAAGTCTTGATAAGCAGAGATTTTACATGGTAAACTGTGAATGAAGTTTACTGCATCTGAGAAGCGTTTGGAACATGAAGACCTACACAAGGGATCTGATAAAGGCCAAGCTTGTTTTAAGCGAAACCAAAACCTTCTAACCATCGAGCGCAGGTGTTCGAAAGCGCGATTCCCACGTGGTTGAAATCCTAGACAGAGTTGTACTTTCAAATAGGGTGTAAGACATTTTATTATTGTATGTTCTTTCGAATTTTTATCCCTTTGATTAAGCTGTAATAAGAAAAACTTAAAGAACGAAGTTTGTGTCTTGTTTTGTGTGTTTTAGACTTGCTATAAGTCGATCTCTTATACGTTCTTAGAAGCAATCGAAGCGAGCTTCAATGAGGTCGCGCAGCGACTGAACGAGCGACGAACCAACCAGGGAAAAATAAGGACTTTCTGAAAGTCTATAATGTTTGGGGTTTTTTTTCGCGAGGGTGGTGACGGTTGACGCCATTTTCGATTTCCCCCTCCCTCTGCGCAGACGCTCTGCTTTCTCATCGCGGATTCCTTGCGTGACGTGTCAGTTATAGAAAAAAATCAGTATCTCGAGATCACGTGACAACAACCAGATGAGAGAGAGCAAAAAGATCATTAATCTAGTCCCACACCCAGTATAGGAAGGTGATTACCTTACAAGTATCTACAACAGTAAACTGACTTCCAAGTAGCCGTTTTCTCCGTTAGAATTTGATATGAAATCTGTTACTGAGGTTGCCTTCAATGGCTCTATCAATTTCAAGCGTGCCCATCCCCCCCAGCATTTGTCATGTTTTTCTTCGGAAAGTTACAAATACCCCATGGTGGGGACAAAAGATTCATACGAAAAAAAAACACTGTGAAACTTTAAAATGTGTCTAAATTATGCCCTACTCTAATGACGAGGCAAAGGGTATGTTTTCTTGAAAGAGTCTCAAAACCGTAGATTCACAAGATGCGTACCTTACATGGAGGAGACAGCATTAACTGTCACTGGTGAAACTGAAAAACGACAACGACATAGTCCTTCATAAAAATCAGCTACGATATACTTACTTGGGAATTTTCCTAATTTTTTGGTCGAACCTTGAACCATGCCTTTTACCACGATGTGAAAATTTACTTTCTTTCAAAAGCGTCATTTGAGGTTCATGTTTGTACGGCTATTCCACGTTGCTCTAGAGGTAAGTGATTTTACCGCAAGGATTTTTGCACCCTAAAACATTCCAATCCCACGTATGAGAGGAAATACTACTTTTTAGAGCTCTTTCGCTTATTAATTATCTAATTCTTTTTCATAGAAACATAATTTGAAAACAATTTCTCAGCTAAACTAGAAGTAGCCTAAGACCAGGTTCCGCATTGTGGGAAAAAGGAGAAAAAATCGGCAAACGAAGCGAGCCAAGAGGTATTCTTGGGGGGGGGGGGGAAGGTGGGGAGCCTCCGCCGCCCTTTCCTCCTCCCCAGGATACCACTCGCCGATATTTTTCTATTTGATCCCATTTTTTCCCCACTGCGGAGCCTGGTCCCGGGCTAAATGAATGAAAACAAACATGGTAGCCGCGAGCTACCAGACGGGTAAAGTGAAACCGTTATAACCGCAAACCGCAGCTTTCCTTTTGCAGTAAACTGGCCAAACCTCGATCTTAAGGTCTCCAATATTTAATATAACCCGACGAATGGAACATTTCAAAACAAAACCACGTGAACACAAGTCTGAATCTTGCGAGACGGCATCGGCAACGCGACACTTCGACAACGGTAGCCTGCGTAGCGGGCGTCGAAAGGGGTAGAGGATAGGGAAAAAGAGAAAAAGGGAGGGGGTGCTTTTCTCCCTCCCCCTCCCCCTTCCCTTTTTTCGCCTGCCACGCAGGCTACGACAACGGTTGTTTGCCATTAACATACCCAAACAGTGAGCCGACCGGCTTGCCCTGGGTTGTTTACCATTTACAAAACGTTCTGAAAAATCAGGTTGTAGAGTAAATGGAAAACAACTTTCAGACGCCGCTCCACTCATGTGCCGAACCTAAGTGCAGCAAAAGAGCGGCGTCTGAATCAATTTGGTACGGCAGTTTTAGTTTGGTGCGGCAGAGTCTGTAGAACTTTTGTCGAACTTAACTTAGGTTCGATTCATGGTACGCCGTCTGAATCAGATGTCGCGCCAATGTCGCTCCAAAGTCGAACTTATTCAGTTAGGTTCGGCACATGAAAAGTACGGCGTCTGAACCAGGCCTGAGAAAACAGCCGTTATTTGGCGACGCTACCACTGGTTTCCCCACCAAATGTCGTCTGAGAAACGAGCGCAGAAATTCCATACTGATGATGCGTCACCCAGATCTGGGTAGTGACGCGAAGCTTCGCCAAATGTCGGCTGTTTTCTCAGGCTAGATTTTCCGGAAATTATATATAGTCAATCGATAAAAATCGCTAAATCTGATTTGATTGATATCGATTTTATCGATCAATCAGTAGAAATCGATGACACACTCGTTTAGTTTATAGATTTACGGTATCTAGATTTTACCGATTCCATCGATTTATCTCGGAAGACACATCTCTCCTTCTGTTCATCCAAAAATGAAAACTGATTTCATGCAATCAGAGAATTTGTTGACGATTGAGTTGCAATTGAGAGTCGAAAGATCAAACAATTTATCATCCCTTTTTTAAAAAAAAGGTTTAAAAAATCGAAATCGATAAAAATCGTCAGCAATCAAGTGATTTTATCGATTGATAAAGCAAAACGGTTAAAAAGCTATCTAGGGAAATCTTTTAGCCTGAATTTCAGGCATCCCTTCGACTCTAAAGGATGTCGGAAATTCAGGCTGGGAAATCTTTTATCTAAGGTTGTATTTCTCGTGGTACTTACCTGCGAGAACTGCGAAAGTAATTTAAAACCGAACCGTTTTTGTCATTATGTACAAAAGGGTCACGGTTTTAGAGAGAATCTTGTTTCGGTAATAGATTCCACATTTCTTAATTGCTAATCAATTGTTACTTGAGGATGTGTTTTCTCAGCTGTACTTTTTAACTTATACCAAAAAACAACAATGTCCGGTACGTGTACCGTTATACATCGTTAAAATCATGAAAAATCGATAATATCGATTTGACACAGCAATTTACTTTATCGATTTTCACCGATTTCCGTTATCAATCGAGAAAAATCACTTGATTGCTATCAGGAGCCCAGGATTCGTTTTCTTTAGCCGATTTTTTTGAGCGTTAAGGTTCTTATTTCGGCTAAATGACTCAATATTAATCAAATTTCTAGTTTTTCAAGGTTTTTTTTTCCGAAATGCGTTTATCTGAATAAGTACTTGTAGTCCTTGTGGTTGTTTTGTCCGTCAGCTAGTGTGATGATTCCCTGCTATGTTTTGTAACGCCCGGTCCAGCCATTGTCTTCTCGCAAAAAGTGATCTACCGATGCGAATTCGAAGGAAGGACTTGAGCCTAAACTTCTACATTAACTGCTGAGAATTATCCTATTAGTCAGTCATAATTCTTTTGGCGCAGATACAATCCATTTTGTTTTTCTTGAGATAAGTGGGTCTTTGGAATGGAGCGCAATGTCACAAATTCCTCCGTTAGCAAATTACTTTTGAGTTAGCTTCACGGTCGAGCAACTGTTGTCTTCTGTTCAACTTTTCAAGTGCCAGTTTTATCAGGCAACTCTCATGGTGATACAAGTCAGTTGTAAAGGTTTCGGAGCTGAAGCATTCCTCGTTAGTTGCTACTTAGGTCATCGCTTTTGCAAGCGGTGCTTAACTGGCGAAATCCACTCCACGGTGATCACAAAAATCAAATGATCCTGGCACTTTTTCGGCGCTGATCATCGAAAAGTTCCAAATCGTCCTCAGAACGCTTAATCGTGGACTATTTTCAAGGTACATGCTTAAATGTGGGATGTATGACGGCAAACAAAAAAACACTCGCAATTATAACCTTTCCGTGA